AATATGAAGACATGTCATTACATGACAGATTCAAGTATACCAAATCAAATATACAAGAACATGCAAATTAACTTGTCAAAAAAAGAGCAGATATATTAGACACCTGTTTTTTCCTCTGCCTTCTCATATCAGCCTATATTCAGAACCAAGGTTTCAAAAACCAATAAAACAATCAGATTCCAGGAAAAAATGTAAAAATCTTCAACCAGGAATTAAAAAAAGAGTACGAGATAAAATTCTATAAAATACCTATTGACAAACTGGTGAACGTTCTAATACGAGATCTGTGAGTGCTTCTTCGACATCTGTTAGCAAACTCAGTACCAATAAACAAATCCTACATTAGAATCAAGAAGAAAAAGAGTACGAGATAAAATTCGAAAGTAAAGCGCAATGTAGTAGAGGACTTGGGATTATATGAACCAAAAACCTAGATCAGAAGAAACAAATAAGCTGTAGGAGATATGCAAATTCATGATGAAGAAACCTGTGAACGGAGACATGATTCGAGACTTAGAACGGAGACATGATTCAGAATGGACACGAGCGAGGAATGGGTGCGGAGTAATTCAAAACGGAGACCTATGAAGAGAACTGGATTCTGTGGCTTTTGGGGTTGGGTTGGGCGGCTCTGATGATGGGCCTCACCATACATGGCCCAGGTCTATTACTTCTTTTATTTTGTACACTTCCTTTGTATTTTTTTATTTAATTTCTTTTATTTCATACGTTGCAAGATGGCTAACTTCGTGTGGGTGTAGTGCAGGTCAAAATAAAGTAACTTGTCAAAATAAACCTTAATTATTTAATTCCAATTTTTAAGTATATATTTTATATTAATATTGATGTTCTATGAAATTAATTAGTCTTATATATAATTATTTATTTGTTTTACATGGATTTTTATTTATATTAAATAGGGCAAACTTTATGATTTACAAGGTGTGAAACCAAACTATTCAGCAGCAACAATTGTCTTTGGTGCTTTATGGTGTGCATGTGGCAGAACAGGAATTACAGGATCACCTAAACTGAGCAGCAAAAATATGAAAAAAGACATGTACAATGAAATGCCCTGTTTTGGGGGGAATCAATCAGAAGATGCAACATTAATTCAACCAATCGGCCACTCCATTAAACCAATCATCACTGAGCAGTGTGTACTTTAATAGTTGTGTGGAATTAAACCAGGTTTTATCAGGGCTTGATGTTTGATAACATCATTAAGTTGGAATTTCCTACATTTTTCATTTTTAATCTCAAGTTTGAGCTTCTGTCTATAAATTAAATCCACATTTATTAAAAATAAAACTATAATGGAATATGAAGACATGTCATTACATGACAGATTCAAGTATACAAGATCAAATATACAAGAACATGCAAATTAACTTGTCAAAAAAAGAGCAGATATATTACACACCTGTTTCTTCCTCTGCCTTCTCATATCAGCCTATATTCAGAACCAAGGTTTCAAAAACCAATAAAACAATCAGATTCCAGGAAAAAATGTAAAAATCTTCAACCAATTAGGAGAGAACTAATACTCTATGATCATGAGGAATGTGTCCCTTGGTGTGTGAGCTCCCTCCTCCTCTTCAACTCTCCTAGCCATGGACCTAGTGATGGGGCCCACATGTGTCTTCAAGGATGGTCCTCCATCACCCTCCAGAACAGCCCATTTTAGGGTTTGGAACGGCCCGTTCTCCCTCCAGAACCGCCTGTTCTCAACTACGATTTTTAAGTCAATTTAGTAGTTTGGAACGACCCGTTCCAGTTGTTAGAAAATAATGACTCAATCCAAGAAAGGGGTGAATTGGATTCTATGACACTTTAAAAATTTTCAGAGTTGTTAGGATCTTTATTTCAATTCAAACTTTTGTAATATGAATTTTCAAGGAAGTTTCTTAAAGACTTGTTAATAAAGAATGAATCCTATATGCTTTCTTGATTAATCGTTGATAAACTTCAAGATTAAGAACAATCAATATGCAATACTTTGATTCAATTTAAAACAATGTTATGCATACAAACATGTTAATCAAGAATGCTCAAAGTAAAGGATAAGGGTAAGAGAAGATTGCACAAGTCTTTTATCCTGGTTTAGCCACTCCACATGTGACCTACATCCAGTCCTCAATCATAACCTGATCAAGATTTGTTCCACTATCTTAATGAAGAAGTTTTACAAGCATACCACACATGCATACACTCCTACATTCAAGATAATCACTTTCTTGACCCCAAGAAAGTACCCTTGTAGAAACCCACTACAAGAATTCCTTACCACTTGAGAAACCTACTCAAGATTTACAATCATTCACAAAGAATTAAAGGAACGAATTCACCTGGAATTCAGAAGCAAATCTTAATCCTTCTCTTTTTCAAGAATGTGATGATGATGATGATCTTTTCTCAAAACATTTCAAAAAACATTTTACTTCTTGGTTTCACAAAGAAAACACTCCAAGAAGGTCACAAAGGCTTCACAAACACGTTTTTCACTCTGTTCAATCTTATTCTTCTCTTGTTCTGAAGTTTCAAAATGTGAAAACTATTTATAACATTTTCAAAACCAGATAATCGATTATTTTAAAGGATAATTGATTATTTTGTTCTTCATGATTTCTGGAAATCAACCAAGAACAATTTAATCGATTATTTTGCAGGATAATCGATTATTCCAAAGAGTGATTTCTGGGATAATCGATTATTTCACAAATAATCGACTATTGCAGCAAGGCATCCTTTTTACCTGTTGTTGGAATAATCGATTATATTTAATGATAATTGATTATTTTGAGTCAGTTTTCAAAAACTTTGTTTTATGTCTCAAAATAACTTCTTAAGTTTCAAACTCATCATCATACTCACTCTTAATCAGATTAGATAAAGATTAGCTCATGCACAAAACACACACATGAAAAAATAAGCTCAACAAAATAATACAATCTATAAGCTACTCCTATTACACAACATAATAGCCACATTTTCTTCTTGACTTTGTTTTTGACTTGTTGATGTCCTTGGTCAGCTTTGTTCCACACTTTGTTATCATCAAAACCTTCATTCTCCAGATGTGAGTTGATTCACCACTATGAATCTCAACACCAGTTTGCGAACGGTCCGTTCTAGGCTACTAAATCACCCATATTAGGCTTTTGGGCCTTCTGAAATAACCTACTACGTTACAATACCCCCTAAAAAACAGGAATTTTCATCCCCAAAAATAGGCTTACCTAAAAAGAGGAATGGATACTGTTCCTTGAACTGAATCTCCACCTCCCAGGTAGCCTCACCAATAGCTACATTCCAAAGAATCTTCACCAAGCTGATGGACTTGCCACGAAGCTCCTTCAACTTGTGATCAACCACAGCTACCGATCTCCTCATAGGTCAAGTTCTCTCTAACTTGCACCTCATCCATCTCTACCACTTTACTCGAGTCTCTAATGTACTTCCTCAATTGTGAAACATGAAACACATGCTCTCCTTCTTCAAACTCTAGAGGTCTCCTCGTCCTATTAGCTATGACTTTTGTCGACTCTAGGTAGCCCTCAACCTTTCCTGAATCTATCTCACTATCTCAGTAGTCTAAAGAACTAACTCTGGAACAACTACTGACTCACCCTCTTGATACCAACATAATGGAGTCCTACACCTCCTTCCATACAAAGCCTCAAAAGGCGCCATGCCAATACTCAAGTGATAAATGTTATTGTAGGTGAACTCTACCAATGGTAACACCTCCTCCCAGCTACCCAGATGATCCAACACACAAGCTCTCAAGAGATCCTCTCCGACTGACCATCTGTTTATGGATGATAAGCGGAGCTTAACCTCAACCTCGTCCCCAAAGCCTGATGCAGAGTCTGCCAACCTGGAAGTAAATCCTTGGATCTTTGTTAGAAATAATACTAGAAGGCACTCCATACAACTGTACTATCTCTCTGATATACAACTGTGCAAGCCTCTCCAAGGACCACCTCTTGACAGGAAGAAAGTGTGCATACTTTGTCAACCTATCAACAATCACCCAGATAGAGTCATTATTCCTAGCTTTCCTAGGCAACCCAACCACAAAGTCCTTAGTCATGTAAATTGAGTAATATGGAGTATTAGTGGTATGTTATAGAGTATTTTCATCAATTAAATTATGTTTTTTAGTGAATTGATGTGTGACTCATATTTCTGCATTTTCTACTATACATGGTGTTTCTAATACGACGTCGAGTGCTACTTAGGGTGTGTTAGGCATTGTTAAGGCCAAGAGCAAAGATTGTTCTTGGGGTCTCTCACGTCCACCGTGGGATGACCATCACTGAGAATAGAAGCTTCAAGGGCTCCCTACGATGCTTTCGCTGAGCATGAGATGACTAACGTCGAACATGAATATTCGAGAGACCTCTTGGTGGTATTTTCACTAGGCGCAAGACGTGTTCCACTAGGCATATCGTCCTGCCTGCAAACCTTTTTTTATTCTTCTGTTAATTTACACGTTGTAACTCTTGTATTGTGATGTTTATATGGGTGTGAATTGATATCTATATATGAATATATGAACATGAGTGATGAGTAATGAGATATGACAAATATGTGAAATGTGATGCATTGAGTTTGTTTGGCATGCATCATTTGTATAAAATGTGTGTTTGGGATACAATATGAAATACACTATCAGGAAAGGGCACTTGTGTAAAAGTTCTGGAACCAACCATAGGGATAGCTAGATTTTGGAAGTCCCAATCCTATCCTCATGTTCATGGGATATATCTTGCACGTCTTAACTATCCTAACCATACCCCATTAATATGTCCTCCTTATGAGAGTGCCTAGAGGGTGTGACTCAACATTTACTCTAAGGCTACTCTACGTGTATTGCTAGTGTAAATTCATAAATATGATATTTTTATTGGCACCACAATCATCATAATATGTAGTTTATGTCCATTGTATAATGTATTATAATGTTATATGTTATTATTTATTAGGCTATGAATGAATCAAGTGTGATGATAATATATAGTTATGTATTCTATGTCTTATTGTATGCTTGCTTGCATTTGGCTATTCAATGGCATTCCTATACCATGAGCTAGAATGAGATGTTTCTCACTCCCTTATTTTATTTGTTGTTGTTCTTGTGATTTTTGCAGGTGATCACCAACATGGTGCTGAAGATATTGGTGATGAGGTTTAGGTGTCATAATGAGTTGTTCACATAGGACATGTGACATTAGGATATAGTTAGAACTAGTTGAGGAGTTTGCTTCATGTTATTAAGTTTGAACGCTTTGGTTTTAATTCCTTTGTAATTTTGTTATTTCCATTAAGTTTACTTTTTTTCAGCAATGTGATCGTCTCTACTTGTATGAATTTTGAGTTCATTTATTTCATAAAATATTTTAGTTTTATATTATTTATGTGTTATGGTATGAAGGGTTGAGGGTGTCACAATAGATACCAAGAGAATGAAACTAAAAACATAAATATATAGGTAATGTACTCAAATAAAACTAAAATAATGTACATAAATAAATCAATCCTAAATTGCCTTAAGAAAAGAAGATGTTCATATTTTGTAGATATCTTCAATGTCTTCATGGGAAAGTGGATTTGGATTTATAAATACC